CTTTGACTTTGCTACCAAACATTTCACATGTGGCTATGTGCGGTGCACTGATTTAAAAAAAAAACACGGGGGCCGGGGTTAATTCAAAATACGGAATATAACTATTCCAAATATTTCTAGTGAACATGAGCATCCAAACAATCAAAAGTGTTGTATGTAGAATGTAGAATTACATTTAAATTGAGATGTCGTCGTTGTTCATGAATAAGCATATTCAGAACATAATTTTTATTATGCTGTTATTTACGATCTCCGGAGCACAGTTCTTCTTTTGTATACATCGTGAAAATCAGAAAATTAGTCCTTGAGGAAAAAAGGACATCGAAATACACATGAATGGTTTAATAATGTCAGCTAATGACCAGAAACGGTCAGATGCATCAATTAACTACATAAAGACGATTTTGAAGTATCTCTTATTGCTGGAAAAGAATAGCATCAACATTCCACGCACATGATTTGTATGTTTTGTTTCCGTAAATGCGTGGCTTGAAATTTCAAATAAACCAACATGTCGACATACATGCCACAAAATTAACGTTTCCCGTATACTTCCCCGCCTTAAGGGCGGGGAAGAATAACCTTCAACATATGCTTTCCGAGTCTGTTTTGAAAAACCCTATATATACAACGATTTTTAAAGGTGAAACTCACTGTGATACACGACGCGCTTTGTGTATACGGACAATATCATTGGAATGGGAGTTGAATGTTAACATGACGAGTAAAGTGCAAGGGACATAACTCTTGATATACTATAGCCTTGGTCGCATATTAAGTTATAACATGAAATGAGTGAATCTTGCTAAAGTTTGCAATCTATTTTCTATATTAGTTTACTTCTTCTTATCACCTGAATAATTTCTTCTGTCATCTAAGTTTCGACAGGGAAGGTTATGTTAATTATTACGCTAAACGTAGTAGTGTGAGCTGGGTTTTTAAGTTTTATTTCTTTCTTTTATTTTTTATTTGTATGAAATACCTGTTGTGGTCTTTGGCAAGTAACCATGCTCTGGGATTTTTGTTTGTTGCTTGTTTGCTGTTTATCATCATCCCCATGATGCCATGATGATGATGATCATGAATGTACCATGTGCAAGTCCTGTCAAACAATCTCCATGACTTCACCAAACGACAACTAGCAGAAGCAGTTCAAGCCCTCAGTCAACAGAGATCAAGGATACCTCATCCTAATGAATTGATAAACAAAAGAACACTCCAGCTGTCATATCTAATTAAACCCATCAGCACTGTATATTTGAACACCGTCATGGACAGTTGGCTTCTTTCTGTTGTTTTCATAGAGCAACTTTGTTCCAATAATCATTATGAGCATGCTCATTACAAATAAGAAATAACTAAAGGCAATCCAAAACGAAAGAAAAACATGGACAAACGGAGTGAGTGGACATTTTTCAAGATCGCCTCCGTAGTCTAGTGGATGGAACATCACGCCGGATACCGCCTCTATTTTGTTTTTGATAGAGCATCTGCCCGGAGACCACCTCCGTGGTGTAGTGGATGGAGCATCTGCCCGGAGACCGCCCCCATGGTCTGGGATATAAAACATCTGCCCGGAGACCGCCTCCGTGGTCAGGTATATAGCACATCTGCCCGGAGACCACCTCCGTTGTCTGGTATATAGAACATCTGCCCGGAGACCTCCTCCGTTGTCTGGTATATAGAACATTCGCCCGGAGACCGCCTCCGCTGTCTGGTATATAGAACATCTGCCCGGAGACTGCCTCCGTGGTCAGGTATATAGAACATCTGCCCGGAGACCGCCTCCGTTGTCTGGTATATATAACATCTGCCCGGAGACCGCCTCCGTGGTCAGGTATATAGAGCATTTGCCAGGAGACCGCCTCCGTGGTGTAGTGGATGGAACATCTGCCCAGATGCCTCCGCGGTCTAGTGGCTAGAGCGCCTGCCCGGGGACCGCCTCCGTTGTCTAATGGATAAAGTGTCTACCAGGAGAGCGGAAGATCGGTGGTTGGGTCCCCGACCGCATTGTACCAACAGACGTCAAAAGATCGTCCTTTTTGCGGAGTCGACTCATTGTCTGAGAAGGGTAAATTGCGGCATGGTATCTCAGTGGGAACTATTATAAAACCGGTTTTAGTCCCAACTAGTGCAAGCAGCCACACACGCACATGAGTGAACGTCGCTACATAAGTGCAATAATCTTGAATGCGACGTTACACCCCATTTCACCTCACCTCATTTAAGAGGGTCTTGGTGCTCCGATGTTACAAGCCAGTTGTCAGTTAAATCTTGGGCCTTTCGTCAGTTGTCATTTCAGAATCTGAAATGCGCTCCCACGTGAAACGTCACGCGGGAGGATTAAACTGTACAATTTTGTCGGTGTCACCGTTTCGATGAAAGTCATATGTCGTTTGACTGGGACTGGATTTGGAAGCACAAGAAGATTAATCTTTATATTCTTGATAGTTACATAACAAGCAAACGTGGAGCTAAAGCTTCCAGAAAATGGATCATTTGAGAGACATTGCTACTGGCGATTTGAACATAACGCGTATGGAGTTTCAGGAGAAACTCAAGCTGGGATGTTACTTCGTTCAATGTGTTTCATGGAATAGACATCTTACGCCATTTCAATAAGGGATATGAACGAGCTACTTCCCCAGTGTCTACATTCATCAGACTCGCCTCGCTAAATAATAGGGGGTGGGGAGTGCGGTTGCCCCCCCCCCCCCCCCCCCCCCCACACACACACACACACACATACATGTAAGAACTGCCACCTGAGGACCTGAGACAAAACCATGCCAAATGGGGACTTAACTATCTTAAAGCAATTTCTACAATATTTTTTCGTATTTCTAAAAAGGAATAGCTGGGCAATGCATTTATCAGGACTCAGAGTACACACTGGCAACTGAGGACTCAGAGTACACACTGGCAACTGAGGACTCAGAGTACACACTGGCAACTGAGGACTCAGAGTACACGCTGGCAACTGAGGACTCAGAGTACACACTGGCAACTGAGGACTCAGAGTACACACTGGCAACTGAGGACTCAGAGTACACACTGGCAACTGAGGACTCAGAGTACACACTGGCAACTGAGGACTCAGAGTACACACTGGCAACTGAGGACTCAGAGTACACACTGGCAACTGAGGACTCAGAGTACACACTGGCAACTGAGGACTCAGAGTACACAATGTCAGCAGTGTTTTGTGGCCTGAATACCATTTTTTTATGACATATTAGAGCATACCAGACGACTTATCGTCGTCATCATTCTCGTTTTCTTATCATATACTACGTGTATGAGACAACATATAAATAAAGCAGGGCTCCCACACTGACTTTGTTTCGTTGTCTTAATGCCATCTAAACACAGCTCATTTACCGCCTATCGGGATTTTCCCCATTCTATTATCATATACTAGGGCATACCAGACGACTCCTCAATAAACTATGCTTCCGACAATGAAATTTGACTGTTCAGGACTAAATACATCTGAACACGGTGGAATTTGAGCCATTCGGGATTATTTCCATTCTTCTATCATATAATAGGGCATAACAAACGACCCCTGAATAAGCTTGGCCTCCGACACTGTCATTTGTCTTTTTTTAAGACTAAATACACAAAAAAACTGCCCATTCAGGAAAAGTCGGAGGTATTCCCGTTCTCTTAACATATACTAGGGCGCATCAGACGACTCCTGAATAGACCAGGGCTCCGATATTGTCATTTGACTGTTTCATTGTCTGAATGCCATCTAAACACAGGTCATTTACCGCCTGTCGGGATTTCTCCCTTCTATTATCATATACTAGGGCATACCAGACGACTCCTGGATAAACTAGGCCTCCGACATTGACATTTGTTTGTGTTTTCAGGACTTGTTACATCTAAACACAGCCAACTTACAGCCAGTCGGGATTTTTCCCGTTCTTGTAACATACACTACAGAATGCCAGACGATTCCTGAATAAACGAGGGACTACCACACTGCAGTGTGCTGTACTTTGTGTGGCCGATATACCGTCTAAACACAGGTGTGTTTGGATATAATGTAAATCACCTAACATTATAAGATTCCCTTACCACATTCGTACTATCGGGTCTCAAACATTTCATTCAAGTCATGGATCTGGACTCAGTTGCAACTGGGACTTGGAAAACACACCTTCAACAGAGGATTTGAGGAGTAAACTCAGGTTCATAAACCTTCCAAATAAGTGTGGTTTTACGCAGCTTTTAGCAATATTCCAGCAATATCACGGCGGGGGACAACGGAAAATGGATTTCACAAATTGTACCCATGCCATTTGGGGAAACGAACCCGGGCCTTAGACGTGACGGACCAACGATTTAACCACCAGGCTACCCCACCGCTCCCACCTTCCAAGTGAGAACATGGAATACACACATGCAACTGAGGACTTGAGGTTGACACTCAAGTTTGTTTGTCATACAACTCCTTACGCAGCTTTTAGCAATATTCCAGCAATATCACGGCATGGAAGAGCATGGGATATCTTACTACTGCTTTAAGAAATATATTCACTTGGTATAAACCTAAAATATCATAAATTTAAAGGTCGGGTTGCAGTGATCCATATTCGTAATTCATAGTTTGAACACTTTATTATTATGCTATTTTGCAAAATCTAATCGTAGATTAAACATTAGCATAGCTGTATCAATTGATTCACTCTCCAACCAGCCATGCATAATAGTTTCAATTCTTTCACTTTGCAACATCGCTGCATGATGAGTGAGTGAGTGAGTAAGTGGGGTTTTACGCCGCTTTTAGCAATATTCCAGCAATATCACGACGGGCGACGCCAGAAATGGGCTTCACACATTGTACCAATGTCGGGAATCGAACCCGGGTCTTCGGCGTGACGAGCGAACGCTTTAACCACTAGGCTCCCCGACCGCCCCTCTCTTCATAATGAAGCAATTATGAATAAGGTCATGTAATTGGACATTTGTGTTTTCATAAGATTGCTTTGAATTTACAATTCAATTTAATCGCATCAACAAACATTCAGTTGAAGAAAGTCAATATCACCTGAGGAATTTCTGTTAGAAAAGACATGGATTCCAGCAAGCTGTGTCAAGAAAGTCTTTGCTATGACGCCAAGAGTACCTCCTGCAGCGGGTATGTGGAGTATTGCTCTTTGCGAAATCACCAGGATAAATGATACAGTTGATCTAACTCTTTTTTGTACTTAAAAAAATAGTTCTAATAGATATCGATGCACATATTTATTGTTTAAAAAACAACAACTGATCTTCCAAGAAAGTCTCATGGTTTCTCATAACCTTAACGTTTAACTGACGACAGTAAACCTATTCAAATGTGACTGAAATATCAAGATACAACCGATCTTTCCCTACAATCTCTTCCAGTCGGCGAAGTAGAGTGTCCCATCATGGAAAGAGATGCCGAAGTGGTGAGCCCCAGGTTCACTCAGTAGCTCCCTTCTCTGTGTTCCCTCCACAGTGACGGTCTCCACCTTGTGTGTCTTGGCGTCACACCAGTACAGAATTCCATCTAACATTGAAAGAGAAACGTGGAGACCTTACACAATGGTTGAATGAAAATAATCAGCAACCTATTAACAGCGTGCTTACATGAAACAATATCATTCCCATGTTTTGAGACAGAAACATTCAGACATTAAGTGAGGCAGATACGTACTTTTCTATTTGTACGTGAAGTGCAAGGAATAAAACAAAACAACATTTCGTAAAATGCATACGGGTACATCCCGCAAACACCATGTGTTTTTAAACTTCTATGGTATTTCCAGTTTTGTGTAATCTGTACCTATATAAAAAGTACTGTGTCACTAACATCACTTGCATGCGGAAGAAATGTCACTGAATGTTATGCTTCTGTGTAAGGGATTTCAGTTATAAACGAAAAAAGCAAGAACGATATGAGTACAAAATGGCATAGTTCTTCATGAGATATTGACTCGATATTCGGCTATTCTATTGGACACGAGACCCGTCATGACCACCTTATGGTAAAAGCGGCATTTAAACACGATTTTCACAAGGCTGAATTCTAGAAATAATCTGAACACGTAAGGAATTTTAGACAGTCCTTTGGAAACTCACAGTAAATCCTTCACCTAAATAAATACAGAATCGGTGTTCATGTGCACGTGTATACTTTCAAATTGTGGTCATGGTATGTTTGTTACTTCATATCCGTGGTGGAATACCATCCTATAGTGAACAAAACGAATGAACGCAAACGACAAACCATGAACTCTGAAGTGAACTCAATGGATTGATTTCAACACCTTTTCGACACGCCCTCAATTTCAACTTTAAATGCCCCGATAATTTGTTTGTCAGCACCGTACCCGTTCTCGTGAGTTTCACCAAAATTGTCAATGTTTTAGATTTCCTAGTCTTGTAAGGGAGTATTTAACAAAACAGCTTACTAAGGATGATAACGTTAAAATCTTTTTGTGACTAAACAAAACAGGATATTTTTTCGGACATATTATGAATAAATATCTCGTGAATCTGCAATTGTATACAAATATCACACTAAACAAATAGATCCGTGTAGATAACATTAATAAGAATTGACCTTCACTTCGTGTGAAATGTCATGCTGGTTTTATAGTGCTAGCCACTGACACAACATGCCGTAGTTTTAACATGAATACCATGTTCAGACTCCGACCAGTCCCTGTTTCGCCCTTAATGCCGAGCGTCAGGCAGGATAACAAAAGTATTTATCTTTTAACGTCTTTTGGTACGACGGGGTCGGGGATCGAACACACTACATTCTGCTCTCCGGGCGGACGCTCTATACACTACATCGAGGAGGCGGTCTACAAAATTAACAACATACCTGATACATATAATACTACTTGAAGATATAGATATTATGTTAATTTATATAGTTAATTAACACTAACTGTTCCTGTCAAGTGTAAGCCCATTTGGCCATCCCTGACCGGTGGTGACTATCTTTCTGATGTTTCTTCCGTCATAATCTGCTGTGGCTATGTATGGAGCTGTTGCCCAGTCTGTCCAGCACATCGTCCTGAAAATATGTATTTAATTGTTAGTATTAACTGAACTGTGTCCACTTTTCTAGACGCCTTGCAAGGAGAGAATAATGTGACCAACCTGTTTGCCTCATGAAGAACGATGTCCCTGGGTTCGTCGAGTTCCTGTGTAACGATGATGTCATGGTGGCTTCCATTCATGTCCATGACAGCAATTACATCATTTCCAGTGTCCGTGTAAATATTTTTCTCGAAGATGAATCGACAGAAATGCCGTCAGGAACTGCATATATACATGTATATATAATATTATATAATTATCAGGGTCATTGTTCTATGCTAACAAGAGATTCTGAAATCTTCCCCAACAAATTACTTAATAAGCACAGCAATACTCCTGCCATGTGACGGCTGCCATAAACAAACCAGACAATCACAGTTATCGATGGACCAGTAAATCCAGTTACACGGTGGAGCATTTACAAATGTTGAAACTAAAAAAAAACGGAAATTAAATTACGTCCGGTCTGAACAAGCGGTCACAGTCTGCTGCTTCTGAGCATAGAAACAAGTTTTAAAAATATGTTCGCCTTGCAACACAGAGGCAGTGAGGAGACCAGGGAGTATGTTGTGGGGGTCAGTTTTAACGTCTCACCATACTTGATAAACACCATTGGGCTTATATAGAAACTAGGGGACCAGACCAACAGCAGAAGCATTGACTCATTTCAAGTAAATACAAAACATTAACGCCAGAGAATAACCAGTCTCGAATTATCCGCCGAAACCGATTCCAATAGGCGTAGTAGGTAAGATAGCGGTGAAGATTATATGAATAGGTCTCCTCCAGGTGACTGACAAATATTAATGGACAGAACTTACTGTCATTCAAAGACAGGATGAGCTGAGTAGTGCCTTTGGTGAGATCAGTCGCACTGATCTGCTTGAGAAGGACATCCGTCCAGTACATTTTGTTCTCCACAGGATCGTAGTCAATGGCGACAGGGCGGTTGCTTACAGCTACCTGTGTGGCAGTTGATGAAGATAACTTGAGCTGAAATATTTGACCTGGATTCCAGCTACCAACAAGTATTGTCAGTTCAGGCTCAACTGTCAAGGGAAACAGAACATTCTTATAATTTGCATTCGAGGTGTCTCGTTGCCATGATGTCAAAAATAAATCCAACATCATTTCAGCTTTAGAATTCAAAGCATGTACACAAAGTATACTTTAAGCGAGGCAAACGGATCGAGATCGAGATTAAATTGAAAAGCTAGTTTGGTGTAAAAGGAGGCTGGCGTTTTTTTATCAACTCGATGGCACAGACCAAAAATAGGAAAAGTGAAACCGTTCAAGCTTTTGGCCAACTGAGGTTCACATGGAACAGAAGTGGTACCCAAACAAAGTTAGGAAATAACAAGGAAATATTCTACGAATTAAGTGACATAATAGTAATCCAATCTACAATTGTAAATCGTAATTACAACCTGTAGATGATATGGTTTCATTTCTAGGAGGCAGACAAACTTGGACCAACAAAGCATAGGGAGTAAGCAGTATCAAGAAATGTTGGTACACAATGTATTAAGTTGAAGATCACGTTTACCGTTTATGAAGCAAAGTCTTTAGTTGAATTACTGATATCATAGACCAAAAGAGAAGGATTATCTTGAAAACAAATCCTTTAATTATTCATGCAATACCAAACAAACACTGGCACGCCTGTGAAAAAATGAACTATTTTAAGATTGCAAGAACCTGATAAACATGAGGCAAACTCTCTCCAGAGTGAATCAGGAATTGTATTGATATAGGTTCTGATGAATGAATGAGTGAGTTGGGTTTAACGCCGCTTTTAACAGTATTCCTGTTATATCGCGGAGTGTCAGCTTAATGTGGGAGGTAAGCACGAAGTGATGCAGGTCTCAGACGTTTCCCACTTCGGTGAAACCAACGAGCACGGGTATGGTGCTGACAAACCTAGAAACATAATCGGGGCGAACCGGGATTCGAACCCACAATCATAGGTTTCTGGCGTGCCCAAGGGACGCAACTCTGCACAACGAAACGCGGCGCCTTAGACGACTGGGCCACCCGTGCCCCCAGGTTTTAATGAATCAGCTGTTCACAAGAAGGAAATATCACCACTGACAGATGTGTTACATGACCCAACTCCTCATCACACCACCCAAACCACCACCCATACAAATACATCTAAAATGTATCTTAATATATAAAGAACTTTATTAAATTGTAACCTTTGTGTAGTCCAAACGTGCACGTGTTTATAGAATATTGGCAATGGAAATTACATGAATCCGAAACATTTAAACAAAGCGACAGCAAGTATGAATTAGAATAACTAAAAAAAATATTTTTGAAGCCATTGTCTGGATCACATTTACCCCGGACCTACCCTAGAAGATCAACCACGATTAAAGACACTGCTTCATATTGTCGTTCTTTTATTTACACTAACTTTGATTAACTCGCAATTTCACTCACAATTTTTCAGATGACGAATATATATAGACTGCCCCTGTGATATGATCTTTTCAGCTGACAGCGGTTTACCCACGTGTCGCTGTAAGGTGTTTGAAGTATCAGATAGTTATGAACCATGGCCAAACGTTGTTCAATTGCATGAGTAAATACACTCTTTTTATCTCGATAAGTATCACTCGACACAAAATCGTATCGTGTGATTAGGAATAAATACTAAGCCCCACTAATGTCAATTGTACGGTTATTCCTGATATATAGCAAACAAAACACAACCTATTTTATATTTACTGTCTTTACTTTCAAATGCATTTTATTCATTTTTAGATGGTTTACTTCTGTGAGGTTTAGTCATGACCCGCGTCTGGTGGTTGAAATATTCCCACCACACCACATAGCTTTACTTCCCACAAAAGACTCTTACATGTACATGACTATAGGTCCCGTCCCTTCTTTATTGGCCGATCCATATAGTACGAGGTACATGTGCGTTACACACAAATATATATTCAGTGGGGAGAGTTTTACTTGTATGAAAGGGTGTAGGTTCCAAATTATGCTGCTTTTAAATTATTCGCTTCACGTTTGCTGACTTCTCTTCACTGGACACAAAGGCGAGTAGTTGTTGTCATGTATGTTGAGTTTCATTGAATCAATAACATTTGCGAAGCCACTGTGTGGTCCAACAGTCCCACCGTCAACTACTGTCTTGTTGGGTAAGTAATATAAATATAGTCTTTTAATTATTTAAGTGAAGCGTGAGATATCTACACCGAGGTTGATGATACCAAGAGAGACACACACAACGGTGAAGTAGTTTATAGGTACAACGAACATGTAGACAGGTGACAAACATTAGCCCCGACAGAGGACCTACTATCTAACACACCGATTCAACAGCGAGCAAATAATTGAGTGAGTCAGTATGGGTTTACGCCGTTTTTGGCAATATTCCAGCAATATCACGGCGGGGGACACCAGAAGTGGGCTTCACACATTGTACCCATGTCGGGAATTGAACCCGGTTCTTCGGCGTGACGAGCGAACGCTTTAACCACTTGGCCACCCGACCGCCCCGCGAGCAAATAAAGAAACAATATAGAGGCATACTACTAAAAAAGTAAGAGAAACATAAGAAGTTTTTGACGATTGGGATACGATGGCGATGTCAACGAACCTTGACCGACAGATCCCGTTAGTCGCCTCTCTTTATATTGCCATATAGTTCGACATGAAAGGAAGGATGACTCTTGCAAGCTTGAAGTTGCCAAACAGTTGATATGTTTTTGTCTCTCTGGATCTGTATGCCTAGATCGCATTATGAAACAGATGAGGCGGTTTTCAAATATCTCTTCCATTTCTAGTTCAGGTGGGTAAATCATCGAAAGGGAATTGTCTTTTGGGCTTTATTTAACGATAACATCTACTGAAGGTCTGGCCATGCAACAGACCGACACAGCTTACTCAGTTTTCTATTTGTACAATCTTGTTGAACTATTGGTTGTGTGATGCCAATACATCAGTACACGCCGTCAGGAGGAGGCAAATATGTGCCTGACTCTAGATTGTCCGGACACAAACATCAGAAATGTGATAGTTATCAAACGCTGTGGTCGATCACGATTACCTGTTCTCTTTCTGATAGTGTGGAGCCGCGGATTATGAATTAAGCAAGGTTCTGTCGTATTTATTTAAGAAATCGTGTAAGCCCTTGTTGAACATGTGATCTTTGTGTCTGTTTTTTCTTAAGCGACTTTTAACTATTTGAGTGATCTTTCGGGGAATATCGTACCGTCTGTCGTATCATTTGAACGACGTATGACGCGCTACGCCTCCAAAATACACTTACTAATTGAGGTGTACATGCCGTCATTTTCAACTGACCAATAATTGTTGCACTGCATGGTAACCTTACCCTGGATCTCATAATCCTGTGTCTTAATTGTAATTTACATTCATTTCATGGGACTTTATGATTATGTTCCTAACATACCAGAATACCCCTAACATGCCCCATTAAAACATAACGGTCACCTGTTTGATAAGAAGCTAAGCATCTTGTTATAACACGAAACGTTTTTATTTGAAAAGTCCACACTATTCTATTTTCCATATTTGTTCAGTTTGTATCGACAATTGTTATATCTTTATGGTCATGATATTGTCGAATTCATATGATACAGTCGGTCAAAACGACCGTACAAGCACAAAGGACAAGGTCGGGTCACAATGACACTACTTCTTCATGTAGTATCGACGCAGTACATTACCATGATAAATGTAGAAATTGTAATAAGAGCGAAGACAAACGAAACTTTGTTTGCTTTTTAACAAAACCGTATAGGCATTATGATACAAGTACCTCACAAACATGAACATGCAGATCTCCCGTACAAGTTTTTTCTTTAGATATTTCATGTTCAATGATGCTGTGGTGTAATGACGCCAAAGTTAAAGAATTAATCGTAAATCAAAACATTTCCGTAAAGGTATTTTCCAGTACCCGTGGATTTAGTATTTTGTAAGTATTGATATTTCAAACCTACCTTCTGCGGACGCTTGTGTTACCAGAAACATAATTATACCACAAAGTGCGTGATATTCAGCCATGATTTCACGGCGCAGTTGCGCGGAGAAATGACAGTGCAGAGTGTGAATAATGTATCACGTGAATGATTTTCACCAATGCTTTAAAACTTCCTGGTTGAGAAACAGGTTATGGCATTGATACATGATGAATACAAATGGGTATAGAACATGTGGGTATTTATCATGCGGGGTAAGGGCAGATGGTGGACTACTATCAATATAAGTATCCAGACATTTTTGGGATTAATTCTTTACGAAACCAAACAAGCTCGTTCCACGCATCAAAGCTTATTTGCATTTTATATAATTTATTCATATATTATTTTCTGCCGACATTTCGCCCACTCTACCCCGCTCTTTTTCATTCAAAACAAAAGTACAGAGACATATTCGAGATTAATTCTATATAAAACCAAACAAGCTTTGATGTTCTACAGACATGGTAAAATCCATTATGCAGCTCTATCCATTTTCGTCACTTTGGCTACATCAATTTATCAAGTTTCGTTCAGTTAAGGTTTTGGACTGGACTCGATACAACAAGAAATCGACTTTATCACCTCATGAAATAAGACCATCTGACAATCTCCACCTGGAGTTTGTTTTCAATCATCTTCGAAATGTAATAATTGTGTTCAGTTCAAATATATCTTGAACAAAGGTAGTTATTTAAAAGTGACTTTCCACATTAAATTAAGATATAAATCTCAAGGTTTATATGTAATAATTTCCGTTTAAATGTCGAGCTTGGAAGTCACAGTTACAGTCCTCACAAAATCCAAAATCTGCAAATATGCATGATGTGTTTATAGGTCACCAGTAAGTCACTTAAAGAAAAAAGTAC